CAGTATTGTCACCACAGCACTTGTGCAAGGCTCGGTGCACTTTGAAGCCACGCGAAGTGCCGAAGGCCCACTGACAGGTCACAGAACATGAGAACGACCCAGGTGTTGTGGGTTAACTGACTGAGATGACTGGCAGATGCACCACCCGTGCTCCACACTGTGCCAACTCGCTGAGTTTTAGCCACCTGGAGAGCCTCTCATTGTTGTGAGTGTCGCTTCTCTGCCCTCCACTGTTGTTTGAGGGCGAATGCCTCCAACTGCCCAGTCGGATCCTTCACGAGTCTCCTCCACACACACACACTCACCTACTGGAGCACAACAAACACCCATTCATGGAGTTGGTCAAACATCCTACTCTCGGACCATAGAGCTTCGTAAATTGTTGGTGCCGGTTCTGCCCGCCCTTCTAGTGTGCCTGTGGTTTCCTACACCTCCGAATCATTCTATTTTTAGTGAGATGAAAACCAAACGCATGACACAATTCAATATTCAATTAGAAGATGCACCCCCAACTTGTCTGTTTAAAAGCACAGGGGAAGAAAAGCACGTCTAATAATCCAGAGAATAGGGTGGGCACTTTGACGGAGTGGAAATCTTGAAATTCACCCCAAATGAAACTGTGATTAATTCAACAAGGAAATAAAATGACATGGCATGGTAAAGTGTCTTGGTGCATCTGACAATCTGCTGAAATCATCAAAGCCAGTTGCATTACTTGCTGCTGCAGGTCTATGGGTCTCTATGTGAGTGATAAAGGTCACTTTTGCATGAATTAAATTACAATAATTAATCTAAAAACGAAGATCGTTTAATCATGTGATGACAGATTAATATTCCACGATGGCTGAGATTTTTTGTTGCAGCCATGAGGCTAAGAGTTCATAACGGCCATGTCAGTGATCCGGAGCCAACGGCGCTGAGATCCTGGGTTCAAGCTCTGGGTGTCTCTCTCAGAAGGTCCAAAATGGTTGGGTCAGAGACACTGAGCCAACAATACTGAGATCCTGCGTTACAAGGCCTGGGTCTGGGTGTTTCTCTCTCAGAAGGTTCATAATGGCTGGGTCAAAGAATCAGAGCAAACTCTGCTGAGCTCCTGGGTTCGATCTGTGGGTTTTCGTGTCTCTCAGGGGCTTATAAAGGCAGGGTCAGAGGCTACAACGGGCCTTGCGAGAGATTGAGAACTGAGCTGCATGTACAGCTGAATAGGCCTGACTCAGCTTATAAACTTCTGACCTCCGACTTATCGTATAGCAAGAGGGACGCCGCAGCAGCAGACGGAGTCAGTGTGTTTGTCAGTGCTGGATTATACTAGGAGCTAAATGTTTTCAAGCTATCAATTCCGGTTCCACTTGCTCTATTACTATAGTATTATACTGCCTTCAACTTTTATGAACGATTGGGTGTTTAAGGTTAGCGATTTGTCATTATCTGGCTGTATAGCAAATGAAAAAATACAATTACTTTACTCTGCAAGTTGTTGTGAGCGTCGCTCCTCCGCCCTCTGTTGTTGTTGGAGGGCGACTGCCTCCAACTGCCCAGTAGCAGCAGTAGCGTCCTTCACGAGCCTCCTCCTCCACAGAGGCCGCTCCACACCTCCCGTACCACATCACTCCATCTCTTCTCTAGCCCGTGCCGTGCCCGTTTAGCCCCCTCGATCCGGCCGAACAAAAGCTGTTTCGGGCCCGCGGTGGCTGGACACGCGGGCTACGTGACCCCACACAATCGCACCTCCTGCCTCGGTCATTCCTCCCCGCGTCTCGACACTGCCGGTGCGACCACCAGCCGCGTCAGAAGAGCTCCAGGGAGGCCGAGGCTCTCCGCCTCCCTCGCCAGCTTCAGTTAAAGAGACGCGAGCCACGGCGGCCACTGCAACCCAACAGTGCAGCGACTACAGCACTAACAGCAGTGCACCACCACCACTGATGTCTGAGTTCCTCCTTCGACGGAGGAAAGAGCAAAACGCGACGACTCCCCGTCTCCCTCTCTGCCTCGAGGCATCCCGTGAGAGGAGCAGACGGTGACATCGGCATTAATTACTGAACACGTCGCCTGACACAGAGTGGAGTAGACCGTGCGAGTCTATGGGTCTGAACGCGTTTCCATGCAAGTGTCGTTCGCGTACGTCGATGGGTCTCTGTGCGTGTCTGGGCCTACACGTGAGTCTGTGGGTCATCATGCACGAGTATATGAGTCTCTGTGTGAGTCTATGGGTCTCTATGTGAGTCTCTATGCTAGTCTGGGCCTACACGTGAGTCTGTGGGTCATCTGCACGAGTATATGGGTCTCTATGTGAGTCTCTGTGCTAGTCTGGGCCTACACGTGAGTCCGTGAGTCCCTGTGCGAGTCGATGGGTCTCTTTGCGAGTCTGGGCCTACACGCGAGTCTGTGGGTCTCCGAGGCTGTGTGGGTCTCGATAGGAGTCTGTGGGGTTGTATGACGTGTCCCGCTAGTAATTCCCTGGTTATCAAGGCAGAGACCATCAACCCGCCACACTTGAGTACCCAGATTAACCACCACGGCCGAGCAGTCCATTCCTGGATTGGAACCCAGAATCTAAGCGGAGTTCAACACAGCAGTGGGGGGGGCATTTAGTCTACCAGTGGGGGGCTGCGGGTCTCTTCCAGTCCATGAGTCTCTGTGCTTCGCGTGGCGGGGTAAAGAGTGGTGGTGGGTGCCCTCTCACCCTCTCCCAGGCTGGGCACTTGCCGGCGTGGAAGAGTAGCCGAGAAATAAATCACTTCGAGAGATGTTGGTGAGACAACGCCGTGCCGGTCTTCGTAGGTGCGATGGGACTCGTCAACAGCACTTGCCCTAACATTGTCAACGGCTATACGGGACCTTTGTTTTGTGTGTACTGTACGTGTAATGTGCGATGCAATTATACAGTCAAGAGGTCGATAATAGCTTTCGCACACCGTGAATGAGTGCACACAGCACACGTGAACACGCCTGCGGGTTTCATAAAGTCTGCTTGGCCAGGATCGACACTTTCTGTCTATATTCGTGCGGGTTATGTGCCGAGGCGCGCGTGCATGTGACAGGGGCATATTTAAACAAAGCGAATACTGCTCATTTCTGTGCTGTGTGCTGCTGGTATCGTGGTCGTAATACCACAGCGAGTAGCAGGCTCAGTACCAGTAGCTCCTTGATCAGGGTCAGTACCAGTGGCTACTTGGTCAGGGTCAGTACCAGTGGCTACTTGGTCAGGGTCAGTACCAGTGGCTACTTGGTCAGGGTCAGTACCAGTGGCTACTTGGCCAGGGTCAGTGCCAGTGGCTACTTGGGTCAGGGTTAGTACCAGTGGCTACTTGGTCAGGGTCAGTGCCAGTGGCTACTTGGCCAGGGTCAGTGCCAGTGGCTACTTGGTCAGGGTCAGTGCCAGTGCTACTTGGCCAGGGTTAGTACCAGTGGCTACTTGGTCAGGGTCAGTACCAGTGGCTACTTGGTCAGGGTTAGTACCAGTGGCTACTTGGTCAGGGTCAGTGCCAGGCTCAGTTACCAGTGGCTACTTGGTCAGGCTCAGTACCAGTGGCTACTTGTCAGGCTCAGTACCAGTGGCTACTTGGTCAGGGTTAGTACCAGGCTCAGTACCAGTGGCTACTTGGTCAGGCTCAGTACCAGTGGCTACTTGGTCAGGGTTAGTACCAGTGGCTACTTGGTCAGGGTTAGTACCAGTGGCTACTTGGTCAGGGTCAGTGCCAGGCTCAGTACCAGTGGCTACTTGGTCAGGGTTAGTACCAGTGGCTACTTGGTCAGGGTCAGTGCCAGGCTCAGTACCAGTGGCTACTTGGTCAGGCTCAGTACCAGTGGCTACTTGGTCAGGCTCAGTACCAGTGGCTACTTGGTCAGGCTCAGTACCAGTGGCTACTTGGTCAGGCTCAGTACCAGTGGCTACTTGGTCAGGGTTAGTACCAGTGGCCGCTTCCTGGCCACCTGCCCGGCCGACAGCTTCCTCTTGGAGCTGCACGAGTTCATCGCGCTGGGCCTGTGCCGCGAGCGCGCTTACGACAACTACCAGGAGCAGTGGGGGTAACGTCGCGCGCATCCTACCTCCCGCGCGATCGCGGTAGCAGCGGTGATTGCAGCAGTGGTGGTGGCAGCAGTGGCAGCAGCAATGGTGGCAGCAGCGGTGGCAGTGGTGGTGGCAGCAGCAGTGGCAGCAGCAGTGGTGGCAGCAGCAGTGGCAGTGGTGGTGGCAGCGGTGGTGGCAGCAGCATGGTGGCAGCAGTGGCAGTGGTGGTAGCGGCAGTGGCAGTGACGGCAGCAATGGTAGCAGCGGCAGTGGCAATGGTGGCAGCGGCAGTGGCAGTAGCGGTGGTGCTGGTAGCAGCAATGGCGGCAACGGCAGTGGTGGCAGTGGTACTGGCAGTGACGGCAGCAGTGATGGCAGCGGTAACAGCGATGGCAGTGGTAGTGGTGGCAGTGGTAGCAGTGGCAGCAGCAGTAGTGGCGGCGGTAGTGGCAGCATCACCATCGCGAAGAGCACATCTGTCCCGAGTGTTCGCTCAGAATCAAAGTGGTTTCCTGCTCAAAGCAGCATGGAGGCGGTGCTCATCATCAGTAGTGGAAATTCCCCAGTGCTATGATAGGAAATGAGCCCATAGGTTGATAACCGTTACTGACTTATGACTTCTTGAGGTGTCATATATATTGTTGTATATTTTTTTCTTTGGCGGCAAGTGTGCTTGGCGAATGCGGAATATATTTTAGCCAGACTCATCGAGCCAGACTAAGGCTCTGCCAGGAAACATACTGAACTTTTCAAACTGAACACCTCCTGTTCCTTCCCCCTGCCCCCCCACCCCCGCCAGGCTGAGCGAGACGCTGTCCATCACCTGGAGGCAAAGGGCGTGGAGCGCTCCGGGGAGCTGAGCGAGGGCTTGCCCGCCGACCTCACCGTGGCTCACAGCTTTGCCGTCTGGAAATTGGCACTGGCTGCGTGGGGAGGCGCCGCCAAGCCCAGCCTGCATTGGCGCGGCTAGCCCACATGGCTAGCGAGGGTGGCTAGCCCACATGGCTAGCGAGGGTGGCTAGCCCACATGGCTAGCGAGGGTGGCTAGCCCACATGGCTAGCGAGGGTGGCTAGCCACATGGCTAGCGAGGGTGGCTAGCCCACATGGCTAGCGAGGGTGGCTAGCCCACATGGCTAGCCCACATGGCTAGCGAGGGTGGCTAGACCGCAGGGCTAGCGAGGGTGGCTAGACCGCAGGGCTAGCGAGGGTGGCTAGACCGCAGGGCTAGCCCACATGGCTAGCCCACATGGCTAGCCCACACGGCTAGCGAGGGTGGCTAGCCCACACGGCTAGCCCGGGTGGTGCGACTGCGTGGCTAGATCACGTGGTGTGACCGCTCACTCGGTCATTGTTTTGTTGTTATTTTATTGTTTTATTGTTGTTTTATCGTCGCATTCGACAAATGTTTTCCCGAGAAAGGCAACGGTTCCGTACGCCACTTCCTTCGCACATTCTCCGACTTGCACTGCCACTTCCGCGGAGATGGCTGGGTTCAGGCCCCGGCACTCTGTGTGTGCGTCTGCGCGCGCGTCCCTCATCACGAGGGTTCACTTTAAACTACAATCGGCTCATTCCCCGACGTTCTCGCAACGACCCGCGCTTCCATCGGCGTTGCTTCGTCAGAAGACGATCAATCCCTTGGGAAATATCGTTCCGAGCAGATAATACAGAGCTACCTCAGAGATCACACAGGCGCTTGCCCTGCAGTACATGAGTAATGTTCATCGGGCGACGGTCAAACTAATGCTTTTGCCGTATCATACCGCACCGGGTACTAATGTAGCGCTGAATCGACCTAGACGATGCCCGGGACAAGATGAGATCATTTCCACTGATATCACGGCGGGTGAATCAAACTGAGGTTGGCGAATTCGCCGTGACAAGGCCCCACTCTGCTTTCAAACCACGCCGCCCGCCCGGGGGAGGTCTTTAACATCCAAGCGTGAGCGAAGCAGAGGGGGCACCGTCTTTTTACGGTCAAATACACCCGGGCTGTATTAACCAGGGCGGACGCCGGGCTCGAACCAAATTGCCACAAAGGGCTGCAGTTAAAAATAAACATTTTTTCATTTTATACTCTTAGGTTTTTTTCCGTAAAGTCACGTAGGTAAAAATACATAATAAAAGTAAAAATAATATAACTTATTTTCAAGTAAATCTAGCTGTGACGGTCCCACCTGATGACGGAGACTTGTGTTGCCTCCGAAACGTCGTGATTTATAATTGTATTTCTATTATTTCTACTTTTATTATTTATTTTTTACCTACGTGACTTTACCGAAAAAACCTAAGAGTATGAATCCTTGCAGTCACGAAAGCTTCAAATCTAGAATTATTTTTTATTTTACCAGGTTGAAGGGCTCCACTGAGCTATGTAGCTCTTTATCCACAAGCGACATGGCTATCACAAATGATAGCTCAACTCACTTGCTTATCATCGCGTGTAAATATATAGCGGCCAAATACTCTGAACGCACATTGTTGGTTCTAATGTGGAGGGAAAACCTTGACCTGGAGAAAAATCCACGCGACCACGGGGAGAGAGACACGCAAACTCCAAATGTACAGCAGCAGCAGGCGTCAGTGTCGGCATCGAACCCACGACCTCCTGTGTACCAGGTGAGGTAGTTAACGTCTCACCGCCGTGGATGCTGTTGATCTCGTGTGGGTCAACGTGGCACAGCAGCAACAGCCCCCCCCCCTCGTGGACTGGCAGCCTCCTGTACCCGCCTGTGAGGCATAGCGCCCTCTTGCGGGAAAGCCTCGCGCTGCAGAAGTTACAACAGCGGAAATTACAACCGCTTCCGCGATAAGCCATATAGATGTTCTCACCGTTGCATAAATGCCCACGATTGTGAAGTGATTTTAACAGAGTAAATGTCCGTGTTTGACGTACACCGCTGTGTGTGTGTGCCTCTCCAAACTCCACAACACGGGCAAGCCACTCGCCACCAGCCATGACACGTGGCGCTCCGCCACTACACACGTGGCCGCGACACTCGCTGCACTCACCCCCCTCACTCGGCACAGCCGCGAAACGCTCCCCCGTGGCCATCGGCCAGGCACCGGAGTGCAGCAGCAGCAGGACTTTGCTGCACTCACACACACACACAGAGTCCTGCTGCTACACACACGTGTGTGTGTGTAGCAGCAGGACTCTGCTGCTACACACACACAGAGTCCTGCTGCTACACACACACGTGTGTATGTAGTAGCAGGACTCTGCTGCACATACACACACAGTCCTGCTGCTACACACACACACGTGTGGATGTGCAGCAGAGTCCTGCTACTACACACACACACGTGTGTATGTAGTAGCAGGACTCTGCTGCTGCTGCAGTCTCGAGACTTGAGGATTTCCCGGCTCTCGTCCGATTCGAGTCGAGAACGCGCCACTCTCACGACTCACGAGTGCTGCCGGCCGAGTCAACAACGAGGTGGTGGACTTAGTAAGAAGGACGTGTGTCGGTACCCGATGCTGAACTTCTTTCGCACCGTACGTAGCCAACCGTGCTAATCGGAGGTGCGGGGGAAGGACAACAAACTAAACACAAGAAGGCGGTTCTAAAGAAACGAGTCTTTGTTCATCTCCATGATTTAAAAGTGCCCAGCGCCGGTGGCTTCCTATCTGAAGAGCGTTCCAGGCGGCCGCATCAACATTCTCACCATCATGCAGGTACCTCCTCAACATCATCATCATCACCGCCATCGTGTGTGCAGGTAGAACTTCTATCGCACCGCACGGAGCCAACCTCGCCCATGAGAGGTGCGGGAAGGACAACAAGCGGAACAACAACAAAACAAGCAGCTTCAGCAGCAGCAGCGGGTCTCAAAAGTTTTGTCAATTTAGGAGCTCCAGCGGTTCCCCCCAGGCCGTGAGGCCCTGGGGCGGTGTGGGCTGCGGGGCACCCACTGAGCAGGGAGGCGACAATCTTCACATCAAGATTGAGGCGACAATCAGTCAAGACGTGACCCCTCTCCCTGTCCGCACGCCGACTCTTTACCCCCCACCCCCCAAGGATTAACGCTATTAACGTGTTTAAGCAAACAAGACTATCTCATTCTAGACTTGAAGCTTTCGTGACTGCAAGGATTCATATTCTTAGGTTTTTTTCGGTAAAGTCACGTAGGTAAAACATCAAAATTAATAAAAAAATTATTTTTATTATTTTATTTTTATTAATTTTGATGTTTTACCTACGTGACTTTACCGAAAAACCTAAGAATAAGACTATCTCACTCATCTTAAGGCCAATGTAGACACATTGTTATCGAGGCTTCCCCAGATGTTTCCTATGTGTACATTGCCAGTAGACCCCCCCCCATAGGCAAGCGAACGCGTTTGAGTCACCCCCCCCCCTCTATGCGAACTCAACTGAGGGCCCCCCACTTGACCATACTTCACCACGCTGGTCGGCGCGGTCTGGCGCAGGAAGCGGCGAGCGTGGAGGGGACCCACGTCTCCCGCGGGGTTCAGGGCTCCGTGGGGAGGCGCTCATCCAGCAGTGGAGTGGCGCGGGAGGCTTCTATAACCCACCTTTCTTAATGTTTCATTAAAGTTAATTGTTTATAAATAATTCTAGATTTGAAGCTTTCGTGACTGCAAGGATTCATATGCTTAGGTTTTTTCGGTAAAGGCACGTAGGTAGAACATTAAAATTAATAAAAGTAAAATAAAATAAAAAATCACGTTTCGGAGGCAACACAAGTCTCCGTCATCAGGTGGGACCGTCACAGCTACATTTACTTGAAAATAATTGCCTCCGAAACGTCGTGATTTTTATTTTATTTTTATTAATTTTAATGTTTTACCTACGTGACTTTACCGAAAAAACCTAAGAATATGTTTATAAATACATTCATATTCAGTCGTGTACAATTAAAGCCGATGTCTAAACGATATATGAACTTAATACAAAGGTATGCTAATGTTAAGGAATACACTTTCAACATGAACGA